TAATAAAATATTAAAATGACAAAAATAACATTTAAGACTTGGTTTGAAAAAATAAGAAGATATGATTTTATATAAAAACATTTTATTGGAGCATTTTATAGTTTAACTTATTTAATTATATTTATAATACTTTTCATTGCCAATTAAGTAAAAGCAAATAAACAGTATAAAATAAAAGTAAAAGATTAATAAATAACGCAAAAATAAAAAATAAATTTCTCAAAAAGAAGATTATCATTTAAAATAATAAAAACATATGTACAATTGTTGATTAATTATGTATTAATAATCTAAAGTAATTAATTAATTAACTATTAATTATTGATTTCTAATATAAAGAAGTTTTATTAGAAAAAAATTAATTCATTTTCAGTTAACAAAAGTAATTGCTTAAGTTTTGTTTTGAATTGGTTTAGAGAATAATTAGTTTTCATTTCATTATTTAATATTATGTTCCACAACTTTGGTCCTCGGTTTTCAATAGAGAATTTAGTAGCGGAATAATAAGTTTTGGATTGAATGTAGTTGATTTTGAAAATCTTGTAGGGTATATGTGATTTATTTTTTCAAAAATTGAATAAAATAAGATTGGTAATATATTTTTATCAAGTTTGAACATGAAAATAAGAACTTGATAGAGGTTTAGTTTATATACATTTAGGATATTGAGTTCATTAAAAAGTGTTTGTGTGTGAAAAACGATCTACGTTTGAAATTATCCTTATAGCCTGTTTTTGTTTGCTAAGCAATTTTTTTATTTTTGTCGCGTTAGTGCTACACCAAGCAATGTTCGCATAACTTAAGTAGCAATGAATAAAAGAAAAGTAAATGTTTTTTAAACAAGATCGATGTAATAACTGCTTTGCTTTGTACATTATTCCTAAATTTTTTGATATTTTATCTTCAACTACACCTATGTGTTCCCTCCAGGTCACATTTTCGTCTAGAAACACGCCTAAAAACTTTATTGACATCACAGCATTTAACTCTTTTATGTTACTCGATTTCTTGAATAAACTTTTTTCAGTATGACCTATTGGCATACGTTCTGTCAGATGTTTAATTTCTTTTGTCGCAGAAGTTACAGATTTTACTTTATTTAAAAAATATAATTTTCTAGTTTAATTACATTTATGGATTTTTTAATTTAATGATCATTAATTAGAATTATTCTACTTAACAGCAAACTTATAATTACTGAAATAAAATTTACAAAAAGCTTACTGAAGGTAAATTTATTTCTTCAGGATCATTTGGTAATGACACGAAGCTTTGAGTAGATTTGCCTTGGTGTTGGATCCGTCGAAAAACATTCTAATCATTCATCAAATTTTAATATCTAGTAATAAGCTATAAAGCAACATGTTTAATACTTACAGTATGGCGTGGTATTGGCAGTAATGGTTGGCTACTAGGTGCTGATGCCTAAAATAGTTTTATATTAATTATTAAAGCCTAGTAAAATTTTAACTAATTTAAGAAAATAAAAACTTACATTTGTTGATTGTAATCAATAAGTGTAAGTCCATGTTTAAATAAATATTTTCGCTTTCACAATTTTTTTCATTAACTTGTTTACGCTTGTTTTTAATAAAATCACTTTATAAGCTTACAGAAATGACAGCTGGCTGAAGAGTGGCCTACATGTGGGCCACATATACCTTTCTTGTCGGGGAGGGGGGCCACACACCCTCCTTGGTAAGGCCCTGTATATAAGTAATATAGTTTTGAATATTATTCTTTTAACAATATTCTGTTATATAATCTAAATCACACATAAAATCACATAAAAAGAACATAGTTTAGTAATGATAACAAATTGTATATTACAATAAGTAAAAGTCCTAACACACCAAGGCTTTTGTTTTTTATTTTGTATATTTACACTTTTTCATTTATAAATATTTATTTTTATCTCGATTTACAAATTTTATGGAAAGTTTATTTAGAACAACAATTCCCTAATATATTCATTATAAAACCGCTCAAACATTTTTTAATATATTTTTTTTTTTTTTTACAAAATTATAAACATTTACAGATTTTTATAATATTATAACAAAAAGTAGAAGTCTTAACACACCTAGGTTTTTGTTTTTTATTTTATATATTTGCACTTTTTCTTTTATATATATTTATTTTTATCGCTCAAACATACTTACAACAGTTATAATATTTTTTCAATTTAGAGAAATAACTATGTAACTTTAGAGACTACGTTCTTCAAGTTTTATTCATCACAAAGTCTATTATTTATACACGAAAATTAATAAATTAATCAAAAGTATTAAAAAAAAGTGATTTCCTTCTGGACAAAACAAGTGCAACTCCACAAAATGTTGACCAAGCTGTATTTCGCTATCAATATTTCGTGGCGAATCCTTTGTTGTCGATCACAGCCTTGCATCTTCGAGGCATAGATTCGATCAGGTGATCAATGAAACTTTGTGGAATCACTGCCCAGGCATTTTGGATTTGTTCAAATAGTTGATCCTTATTACAAACACCTTCACAATTAATTCTGCGGTTGACGATCTCCCACAGGTTCTCGATAGGGTTGAGATCCGAAGATTAAGGCGGCCAATCCATCACCGATAGGTGGTTGTCTTGAAACCACTGCTTGATTACTTTTGCAGTGTGTTTCGAATTGTTGTCTTGCTGAAAAACTCATTTTATTGGCATATTTCATTCAGCATGAGGTAACATAACATCTTTAAGAATATTTTTATAGATAAAACAGTCCATTATTCCATCGATTCGATATATTGGATCTAGACCGTTAGCAGAAAACCACCCCCAGGCCATTACATTGCCTCCACCATGCTTCACGGTCTTATGGCAGTAACGCAAATCGAGGCGTTTTCCGGCCGGTCGACGTACACGGCAAATGCCATCGCTCCCAATGATGTTTAACTTCGATTCATCACTGAACAGGACAGTTCGCCATTTTTTGCACATTCCAGTCAATATGAGATGTAGCAAACAGGAGTCTTTTCTTCTGGTTCTTTAGTGAAATCAACGGTTTCTTTGCAGATCTTTCTTGACGGATCCGGCGATCATAGAATCCTCTCTAGAAGTGGTGGAACGCAGTCTTCCACCTTTGTTATCTGCTGCCAACTTCCCCGTAGCACGATATTTGAAACATAATCTTGATACGGTCCATTTTTTCACGCGATATTTATTACAAATACTTTTTTGTGACATTTCACTTACGTAATCGCCAATAATTTTCTTTCTTAGTTCCAATCCAAGACTGTCGAGAGCCATTTTTGCACTTAAAGTCATAAAAATAATAAAAATAAATAATCACGCTTCTCAAGGCTTAGCGTGTTACATTTACCTTATGATGATACAATAATGCTCTGTGGAACTTCTTGGTTGGATGTGGACTGTATTGATGTAATAAAACACTTGTTGTATTTCACTTCTTGTATTGATGTTCTTCGATAAAACACTTTGATAAAACTCACTTCGATAAACTGTCTTGATAATACTGGCTGATTGACTTCCATATACTGACTGAATTACATGTCGGCTTACATGTCTCTTATATAGTAAAATGAACCTGTGTGAACCTGTTCTGGAAGATTCTGGATTCTAGATACGAATCCAGAAGCTTCTTTTCGATGCTTCTGGAAGCTTCAGGATGCGTATGGACCCTTCTGAATGTTTCTTAATACTTCTGGATGCTTCTGGATGCTTCCAGATGCTTCTTCTGGAAACTTCTGGAAGCTTCTGCATGCTTCTGGAAATTTCTGGATTTTTCCTTTAATTATTAAAAAACTTCCGTGACGTTGACACGGACCAGACTTAAGAAAATGAAACAAACCAAAAAAGTTGTACTTGTTTTGTTTGGATAATATATTTTTATATTTTTAAACGTTTAATAATTTCATGTAGTTTTTGATGTATTTATGCTGTAAAGTTTTTATAGAGATATACAACTATATTTGATTTATTGAGATTGTAAAATACGAGCGGTTCTCGATGACAAGAAAAGACGGTCTTCTGCGAGTCTCCGCGTTCTTTTTATAAAATTAAATACCTGTATAACTATATCATCTTTTACCTAGTTCTTATTGTATGATTTTGTTATTTAAATGTTAACGATTTTATTATACAACAATTTACTGAAATGTTTAAGAAAAGAACAAAAAAAAAAAAAAAAAATGTCAGTTAAATTTTCTGCTCAACCTACCAAATTAATTCAATCTCGCCCACAGAATAAATTTATTATCGCCCAATGCATTTAATCTCGCCCGGGTGGGCGAGAATAGATGCAGCATAATATATTAAGACTTACGCTACCAGCAGTTTTAGCAAAAAAAAACTTTTGCCGTGACCCCCATTATTTTTTCATTAAATTGGGATGACATTTAAAAAATAATTGAAAAAGCAAAATCATAAAATTTTGTAAGGGTACATATTTAGAGCATAATCTTTTTAAATGCTTACAAAGGAATATTTTTTATGTATTTTTATTCTATATATTATTGAGGAAATTATTTTATAAATTAATTACCCTTAATTCAACATCCTTGGCATTATCGTAAAAATGAACTCCAAACTTACTTGATAATTGCTTTGACAAAAACTGATGATATCTACGTTAATTTATTTTTGATTACCTTCAAAACGATTCTCTTCCTCTGTGTATTGTTATTAAGGAAATTAATTTAAAAAAAAATTGCTATGGCTCTGCGTTTAGTAATTGTATCAAAAGCTCATGTTCATCAAAACCAAAAAAATTAGCTAGATAAAGAACAAAGAAAGTATTGTAAATAAGTAAACTTTGTCTGCTGTTGCATTTTCTTTTCCTGATAATTATTAGTAAGAAATTTTATCTTTTTATACTATTGTTTTTTTTTTAAGAAACAATTTTTTAGTGTTTAGAAATAATGCAAATTTTATTTAGGATTGTTTTACTTATTTTCAACTTAAGAACTAATGTTTTAGTTAGTAAAATAACTAAATAATAACATTAGGTCTAAAACGTTAGGTTCAAAGGTCCAAAATTCATTTTAATAGACTTTTGTAATTACTTAGCTAAATGCTTATTTACTTCATTGTAAATTAAATACTGCGAAGTTCTAGGGTTGGGATTAGATTACAAATACTAACATATGATTTTCACCATGTGTTAGTATTTGTAGCTCTTATAAATTTGGAGCACTTTATTAAATTAATATGTCATTCATACTGCAATTTATTTTATCTAGGTATTGTCTTGAAAAACAACATAACCTTTGGTTAAAACAAAAGGTGGGGGATGTAGTTCATCACCAAGATTTCACCGGATGTCGGTTGGAAAGATTGCTTCTGTAACAGAGGCTACAATATGTTATAATACAACTCATCTTCGTGATGGTATAACTCCTTTAACAAATTGGAGTCGGTCCAATAGTGATTGGACTAAACAGGGCCTAGCAAAATTATGGTTTACGAAAACATTTTTAGAAAACATTCGTCCACAACGTCCTCAATTATTGGTTCTGGATGAGCACGATTCTCACAACTTTATTGAGCTAATTAATATTGCTATCCAGAACCAGATACATATAGTTGAAATGCCTTCACATCAAACTGGCTTCAACCATGCGACCGCGCCTTATTCAAGCCACTGAAGGATTATTATCGCTCTACAGTACAAGATCTGATGGGTCAGTTTCCAGGAATTATTACTTGTCATTCAAATTCTGCAGGGATATTTGCTTTAGCTTGGGAAAAAGCAATGACTTCTAGCAACATTACATCTGGGTTTAAGTCGTGTGGAATTTATCCATTTAATCCTCAGGCTATTCCTAGTGATGCATATTTTCCTAACTATCTATACATAGCTGAGGATGTATTAGTTAATACAACTGAAAGCAATTATTCTTTGGTTAGTATTGTACTATCGCGTTTTTGCTAATACTACTATACAATAAAAACTATTATATAAACTTTAGCTAGCAACTGTGACTAATATTTTATGTACAAAATGATAAAGGTTCTGAATGAAGCATAAAGTTTACTAACTTGCATTTCAATAGTATTATTTATTATTTTCTTAGGAATTCCGATCATCAATTGTTCAAGAAGTTAATTTTTCAGACGTTGATGCTTTTAAAGATGCTGGAAAAGTTGCCAATTATCTAGAACAATTACAAAATGGCACTGAAGAAGATAACGCAACTCACAGTTCGTTACAAAGCAACACTTCTATTTTGGAAGCAGAGACTGTTGTTCGTAATAATCAGCTTGCATATTTTGTCAATCTAGTTGAAGAAAAAAATGTTGTTTTACCAATCTTACTGAGCAAAAAAAAAAAGGAAATCTTAGAAGCATTAAACTTTAATTCTACTACAGTTTCAGATTTTCCGTTTGCAAACTCTTCCTACCCCGGTAACTCTTTCTACCCTGATTCGACTTACCTACTAATGATTGACTTACCTATCCCGGTAAGTCAATCATTTTACAGTTGTTTTTTTTTCATTTTATTTGATCAAGTGATCAATAGTTGCATAGCAACAATGCAACTTTTAATAAAGTTTTAGTTTTAAAATCATTCAAATTTTTTTAAATTATTTAAATACATGTTCTTTTATTGAATATATATGTTTTTATCAATGCAGGTGATGGAGGTAATGATGTCTTAGCATATCCTAAGGCCATCGCACGAAAAAAGATAGCGAACAGAAAAGGTCAGCTTAAATACTTCGTTTTAACTTCTCAAGAAGCATACTCAGCAAAGCTGAAATATTACCAAGACAAAATCCAACAGGAAAGAGAAAAATGTGAAAGAAAACAACTGTGATTTGTTAATGCTGTTAAGAAAAAAAAGGTATTGGTCGAGAAAAAAAATTAGAAAATCGTGCCAACAAGTCTATAGCAACTACAAAAAAAAAAGTTCATTTCATTATCATCTGAATTACAACCATTGGTTGATCCCAAGAACAATACTGACAAATATGTACTATATATTTGACAATTTTTTTTTTATATAACTAAAAATACGTACAATTTTGTCTTATCTATATAAACTTTTTTATTATTTTTATTTATATTTTATTATATTTATTATGAGTACTATGCTCTAATCACTACGCCACGGCTGCTCAATATAAAAATTAAACTCATGACTGGGACAAAAAGAAGACAATATTTGTCATATCACTTTTGACACACTGTACAATTTATAATGGTACTGCCAGCTGCTCTCATAAAATCTAAATAATTTTACATAGTTTTGTAGCTGAAGGAATAAGCTATTAAGTAATGTATAGTTCAGCTAAGCAAGTCTAATAATAGCCTGTCAATATCAATTTCAGTGCGGATGTGGGCGAGGTTCGATTAAGTTACCCTAATGAAGGTAAAACAATTTATAGGAAAAAAGCCCCAGTTAATCGGTGTTAATAAATTTCGAAAGTGTAAAGAATTTTAGGGAGTCAAATCTAATGACAAATTTTTTTCCTTTTTAGTCCAATTGAAGAAATGATATATATTTAAGAAAAATATTTATAATAATTACTTTAGCTATAAATTTAAATCAAAGTTAAAACTATGGTAAGTTGAAAAAACTTCATAGTAAGCAAAAACATGCATGCAGGATTGTATTTGATGCCCACAGAACTTTTCAATGTGAACCTCTTTTAAGGAAGCTCGGTGCCCTAAGTGCCTATAAACTTAATATACACCAAGTTCTACAATTCAAGTTTAAAACTAAACATGAACTCTCTCCTAATGTATTTCAGTCTTACTTAAAAATCTCGCACAAGTATCCTACTACATTTTCAATTAACAACTTTATTGTTCCAAAAACTAATTCAAAACTAAATTCTTACAAAATCCAATACCGCGGACCGTTTCTATGGAAACATTTTTCATAATTTATCACAAAAAATAATAATGTTCAACACATTTCTTTGGAAAGAATCTAAGAATCTCTTATTACAAAAAGACTTTGATTTAAAATATCTCTTTTAAAAATAATACACAAATAATATAAATTATCTAAAAAAATAGTTATTCACACTACTTTTCTTTTGTTGCAATTTTAATCTAATTTAATTTTTTGTTGAAAAACTTTAATACTTTTAAATTATTGTTAATCTTTGATATAATGCGTTATATTTCAACACTAATATTTATATTATGTTGTTAGTTATATTGTAACTAACATATTTAAAATTCTTGTTATGTACTTAGCTACTCTTCATTTTTTATATTAACTGACGATTTTTTAATGTAAATTTTATGATGGGGCTTGATGATAAGACAATATATGTCTTCTGCTTGCTCCAATTCTCTTATTAACACGATTTATTTCATTGTAAATTTTAATATATGACAAAACTCTTTGCTTAAAAAAAAAAAAAAAAAAAAAAGTAAGGAAAATTTTTACAAGTCATGAAACTAAAATAAACAACATGTAAATCTTTTGTAATATTTATGACACACTTTTTAAGAACACACTGCAAATTGAACATTTAGGCTTAAACTACGCATAAATTAAAAACAATTAAAAAACATTTAAGTTGGATGCAAGAAGTCAAAAAAAAACCCATAATAAATTAACTTTTACCTAAATGAACAGAAATATATGTTTAATCTCAGAGAAAACTTGATAATAAAATAATTTTTAATAAAAGTTGCTCCAAGATTCTTTTAACTCATTTTTTAATGCGCAAAAGAAATTTTATTAAACACGAATTTTTGCTTTACATTGAATTTTAGCACTTTAATTACTTGTTTTTCCAAAATACTACTTTTCTATTTTAATTATATACTTGATTAAAAAAGTCCATTAATACAAAATGAAAAATTTATATTTCTATAAATATTAAACTTAATTATATACAAATGTTAAAAAAAATTCTAGCAGAGGAATTTCACTGTCAAAAAATTTCTGGATCCGTCATTGATTCACTTTCACTATCACATATTCAGTTATTGACCAATATCTGGCGGTTACATCGATAATATCTATTTTAATAACAGTTATATCGATAAAAGTTAGATCGATAAGATCGTTTCTTTAAATTTCTTACACGATTATCGCTTCATGTGTACATTATGCATCACACATAATTTGTTTTAAAATATCGGCGAAATGACGTTTATATCATCACAATACAACTTTTAAACAGTTTATTTTCTAAAATTTTAAATCGTAGTGTTCTTATATTTCAAGTAAAATTACATCTGAATCATAGATCAAAAAACACTTTTTATTCAAATAATTGTTCACTTTGAAACTAAATAAATATTGTATTAAATTGAAGTCTTAAAATAAAATAATAGTTATAACAGTGAGAAAAATCAGTTGCAATATAGCATTAGAGGATTGAAAATGGATTGCAATAAAGAGTAAATTTGTCTTGCAATAGTTTGATTAAGGAGGAAATTTGTCACTTCTATACCTTGAACATGAGCAATTTCAGAAAATCAATAATTCGAACACACGTGATTATTTTTATTTTTATTAAGACTATTTACAAATTCAATTTCATTAATGTTTTTAAAACAAGCTTTGTTAAAGAATCAATTAGCTTGTTCTTCTTCTTCTTCTTCTGCAACTTTCCATTTATCGGAGACAACTTTAAGTTGAGATAATTTTTCTAAATAAAAAAAAAAAAAAAATTAGACATATTTGTATTATTATATATTTTGTATTTAGAATTATCTAAACACCATTTAATAAAAAATAGAATTGAAATACCTAATGATGATGTACATGGAGAATCAGAGGGGGTAATCTTTCTTCTGCGATTATTTGTTTTCTAAAACATTTACATATAAATTTATAGCGCTAAAATTACTTAATAGAAAAAAATATAAATTAAAATGTTGAGAAAAAGAGGCGGTGAAAAATAATTTTTTTTTGTTGTCAAAATTAAATAAACAAAGAAAAATATAATCAAACATCAAGTAACACCCTAAGTGTCAAAACACAACAATAACACCCTTGCTAAAGTTGGGTTTCAGCACTAAAAAACATGCAGAACAAACAATAATTGACCAACTGTGAGCAATTGAAATAAAATATTTCATAAACAATTACATAAAAAATGACTTTACAACATTTTGCAAAAAAAAGCTGGCAGTTAATGAATAATTCTTATTTAAGAGATGGTCTAGAGTATTCTTTTATATCTACTTTAATAGCTTCTAATAATATTTTATGTCATATAACAGTTTTTAACAATACATAAAAAATATCAAACTAATAATAATATAACAATACTTAGCAGAAATTTTATCAAGCACTAAAACTACCAATATTAGTCCAATAAAAACTATAAAGTTTTTTGTTAGGGATAAAAGAGGTTGTGTCTGTAATAAAATAGTTAAGAAGAACCCAGTAATATATATGATAGAAACAAAAACTTCTTGACACTGAAGATAAAATGCAACAGCCTTGTGAACCAAAACAGAACCTGAAAAACCCTCTTCATCTTTATGTTTCATAAAATACATCCCATGTATTGTTATGAAACACTAATTTTAATGAAAACACTAAATTTTAATGAAAACACTAAATTTTATAAAAACATACAGCTGTATTTAATTAAGTACAATGGTATGTTATATTATTGATGCATTATGTAAATTAACAACAAATGCTACTTTAAAAATTTTTAAACTTACATTTTTTTGAGGGGTTTTCTTATTGACAGGTAGCTTTTGGTCTTGTAATAGTGTGCGTTTATTTTTATTGCCATTTAGAGAATTACATAAATCCTAAACAAAAATTAAGAAAACTATTAAGAAAAAACATAATTTTCATGGTACTTAAAATAATTAGCTACAACAGCAAACATATATTACCTCTTCATCGCTAGAATTTTTCGAGTCACCAGTATCTGAAGACATTTCATTTTCAGAGGCTTCTTGCATCCATAAAGGAAGTGATGCTTTATGTAAATTGGGTTCGTTTTTAATTCCTTTGAAAACTTCTGTTTTATTCTAAAGATAAAACAGTTTAAATATAAAATATAAAAACATGTTTAATAATTGTAAATTAATTTTTTAATATTATAAATTAGTATTATAAATAGTATTATAATATAAATACTATAATCCCAACGGGTATTTGTTTTGAAAAGTTACGCCTTGTATTTTAACGTATTTTAAATGTCTTTTAAACATTCTTTACATAAGAATGTTTAGGAGAAGTTTAAAAAACATTTAAAATACATCTAGAACGTAACTTTTAAAAACAAATGCTTGCTGGGATGCTAATATCATAACTTAATATAATTAATGTATCAATTAGGGTTGGCAATTACCTGGGTTTTTTTCAAAAAGGGTAAATTTTGGGTTTTATTGGGTAAATTTGGACTTTTTTGGGTTTTATTTTTATTTTGTATCTGTTACATTTTTTTTTAATTTAATGATATTGAAAATTAGTATAATTTTCTACTTTAACTTTATTTAAAATATATATTTTATATGTTAAAGCCGTTTTCCACAAGACGAAATATTCGCGCGAAGCGAATTTTTTCGTCGATAAGCATGCGCAGATAAAACATTTCTCGCAATATTTGGCAATAATTGCTAGAAATGTTTTATCTGCGCATGCTTATCGACGAAAAAATTCGCTTCACGCGAATATTTCGTCTTGTGGAAAACGGCCTTTATTTAATAATTTATAGCAAGAATTTTTTAAATTATTTTAAAAAAGATTTTTAACATAATTTAAAATTGTAGTGGAAAAAAAAAATTCACATTAAACTTATATGTACTGAATTTTTTTAAATACTTTTTATAACTAAAAATGTCAATGAGAAATGGGAAAAAGAAGGCTGGAGAAGGGAGAAAGTAACTGAAGTTTCAATTGACTTCAAATTTGAACTTGAAATTCAAATGAACAAACTTGTTTCTCTGGGCAGCACAGTCTTGTTAATAAAGGTTGGTGTTTCAGAGTTAAAGAGTTAAGAGAGGGTTGTAGTAGGTTGAGCCTCCTCAACTGTAATGGCCTTCTGAGCCTTTGGAGGTAAACATAAAAAATAAAAAAGACATCTAAATCTGTAAAAATGACATCAAGTGACATCTAAATTTGTAAAAATGTTTGAATAAAAATTGTGATAATGTTTTTCCAAATAATGATTCAAATATTAGTAAATCTGCTCTGATTGCTGCTATTGTTGGTTATAATAATTAATAATAATAGTTAATAATAATTTAGTTGAGCGAGTTTTTTTGGATGGGTTTTTTAATGCCAACCCTGATATCAATAATATATAATAAAAATAATACTTAAATATCTGAGAATAGATTGTTTAAACCTTAGTTTTCAACAAGCAAACTACTATTTAAGTAATGAGTTACTAAAAAAAAAAAGGAAGAAAGTTAATGGACAAGAAAATGATTGACAAAACACCTAAAAACTTTTATGAATCTGACCAAAAAAAAAGACAGAAAAGAACTACAAGACATTGATGTTCAAGGAAAAAATAGATTAGTAGATTATTAAAAATATACTTTTGAGCACGAAAGAGCTGCTACATTAAAAAGACAAAATTATGCTTTGATTTAATAGAAAACATAAGTATAGCTGGGTTGAAAAAAAAAGAGATGCAGCCATACAATAATGGGACAAAGATGCAAGCTTGGCCTATCAGATAGATAATTTGAGAATACACAAAGTAGAAGGCTCAGTATAAGTGTTGCCATTCATCAATATCAAGAGATCGGAATCAATAAGATCAATAAAATAATCACAAAAGCAAGCACAATGAAGAATGGCAACCTTTGCGGATAATAACTTTGTAATGGGTTGTATATATGGTTTCCATGAGAAATCTGTAGTAAATGGTATTTTAAGAAGATGTAAAGGAGAAGACATATTCAGAGTTTTGTCATTCATCAATATATAAGGGAATATTGCTATAATTATTAGCAGTAAACATCTGGGTTCTGTTTAAATTAATAGGTACAACAACCCCTAAGCTGTCACAGAAGATAGTTTACATTCAAGATTAGTTGCTTGTTTTAAGTGATCATAAAGATGAGAAATAATTCAGGACCAAGGATGGAAAAGCATGATTCAGCAGAGGTTACACAGGCCTTGTCATAAGATTCTGCTACATAACACAAAATTGTTATGTATATGAAACATAAATGTAACTTAACTCAGTATTGATATTTATATTGTTTGAAGAATAAATTGCATCTATAGTGTATTTAAAAATACTGCATTGTAATCAAATTTAATATAAAAATATGCTAAAATGCATTAAAACTATAATTATAATAAATTAAATAATATAATTATAATAAATTATTATTTACTATAATTACATTGTCATAATGTATTTTAACATGGTTTTATAATGTATTTTAACATTGGTTAAAAAGGCTTAGAACTAAAAAGATATAATAATATCTAACCTTTTGATGCTTGTATGCATAACATGTTGGGGAACTACCAACTGAAAAATTTAAACATAAAAATAAAAAAAAAGTATAATATAAATATTGTAAAAAGTATAATCAAAATATAATTATAAATTTGTTTTTTTAATTTATAAATATTATAAAATTTATAAAAGTATACTAAAAATAAAGTGAGCTATTAAATAAGAAAAAATTTAATAAAAATGTAACCTTTATCTGGAACATTTATATCATATAACACATTGTGTTTTTCCGTACATTGGGAGTTCATCTTTCTTTGATTTTTAAGTGGCAAATTCAAACCACAATCAAGACTTTTGGCTTTTTTAAATTCCTTAAGTCTTTGTAATACACCTAAGAATAATTATTTGAATTAATACACTTTGAAGTAAATATTTATAGTAATAAAATGTAATCATCAATTGTTCATAAATCAATCTTTCCTAAAATCAATGAGAAAATTAATTATTGTTTAAAAAATTGTCTATGTTATCCATTTTAACATCAATGTATTATTTAAATTGTATAGCATTTGGAACATTTAATTTTGGATGCAGCAGTAAGTAACAAATATACATATCAATGCTGAAGAGACCTATGATGAAGATTCTGAAAAAATTTCTATGGAGTATCTTATAAATAGAAACTTGACATTAACACACAGAAAATACTTTGAAAAAAATATCAGTAAGGGATTCTTGATTTATGAAATGGTAGAATTTGCATCTCAAACAGCGACAATTTTACATGAACATTTTGTTGAGCTATAAAAAATAGAAAATTGAAGACAAAAGAATGATGGTTTTTCATAATTTTTTTAATCTACTGTTAAAAAAGTAATTTTAGGAATTATAAAGTTAATTAAAAATAAAAATGGTGACTAAAAATTTCAGTATACAAATGGATAGCAATCAGGATGTTGATGTTATGGATCAAACATCTATTTGTGTTTGCTATATCAATAATAGTGATTATTTTTAACAATTCTACAAATAAAAAGTAGTAAAGGTGAACTTTATAAATCAATGGAAGATTGCTATTTTTAATATGGGATAAAATTTAGTAATATAAATGATAAATCATTAAATGGAGCTAACAAAATAATTTAGTCGAACAAAAAATTCAAAAATGTTGTTTTATAAACAAACAAAAAATACCGACATGATGAGACACTATTAATAAACCAGATTGATAATTACAGGGTAGAAAATTTCCAAAAAATAATAGATCAATCAAATATAAGTTTAAAAAAAAAAGTTTTTATCCAATATAGAAGATATTGTTGGTGCTCAATTTAATACCTCAAACAAGTTTGAACAATAGTCTAGAAAAGGAAAAAAATGATAATATATTTGTTGCATAATGTTAATATATTTATATTTTATTTATGATATGCACCAAATTAATTTCAATGACAATGATTTTAGCATTGATAAAGAATATGTAGATGATTGTAAATGTTAAACTTACATTTAACATTTACATGATTTATTTATGTTAAACTAAAATTAATCACTTTATAATACTTTACTTGTATTTAGTTTATTTAACAGATGGGAATAATGGTTCAAGCTCTGGTTTTATGCATAGGAAAAAAATCAGCCCCTGAAAAAACTAGCA